TGCGCGTCCCAGGCTGCCCCCTGCCCAGCGCAGCAGCCAGGCGCGACGGGCCCTGTCTGGAGCCCCGCTGGGCCCGCGCTGGGGCGGCTGCTCACCCACGCAGTTCTTGCTGTCGGGGGTGATTTCAAAGCCTGCGTTGCAGATGCACTGGAAGCTGCCATCAGTGTTCACGCAGCGGCCATTCCTGCACATCACGCCGTTCATGATGCACTCGTCAATGTCTGCGGGGAAACACGCACCCGGTAGCAGCAGAGCCAGGAGCAGCGTGAGCCTGGAGAGCCCCCAAGGCCCCTCCACGCAGAGTGGCCACGGCGGGCTCCTCGGAGGGCAGGACCCCTCTCTCCGCTCTGGGCAGCAGGCCCCGGCTCCGACAGCCCGTTCTCCCTCTCTGCTCCGTGCCCCGGCCGCAGCCCTGAACCCAACGCGCCAGCCACAGGGCCCCGGCCCCCCGTGAACGCCCCGGCCACGCCCCTGCCCCCACGCCGCCGGGGGCAACTGGGGCAGCTGCACAGGGCCTGGCATTTCGACGGAACCCGGAGCTCACGGACATCGCCCCTGCTACTTGGGTAGAGGCCACCACTGGAGCCTGGGGCCCCTTTGGACCAGGGATGCTAAATATCGGTTAATGGAACAGTCGAGTAACCTCAGGAATTCTTATGGGTTAGTCGACTAGTCTCTAGTCCCCCCGGGGGCAACTGGGGCAGCTGCACAGGGCCTGGCATTTCGACGGAACCCGGAGCTCACGGACATCGCCCCTGCTACTTGGGTAGAGGCCACCACTGGAGCCTGGGGCCCCTTTGGACCAGGGATGCTAAATATCGGTTAATGGAACAGTCGAGTAACCTCAGGAATTCTTATGGGTTAGTCGACTAGTCTCTAGTCCCCGGGAGTGAGGCTGGCAGCCAGTGCGCTCTGGCCCCACTCCTGCGGCGCAGCGCAGGGGGCCAGGCAGGAGCTGGTCCACGAGGGGAGCCAATTTCAAAAACCAGCTTCCCTTGTGGACCGGCCTGTTACCTCATACTGCTGCCTCTGATAAAGAGGCAGCAGCGCCGGGGG